GTCGTTCAACGCCACAAATGGAAAATAACTACTCGTGCGGTCAGTTGAATGCGCGGAGACACAATGGCCCATCAACCTGACGCTTCACACTGGCCCTGACTAACCTGGCAGCAAAGTTCGCAGCCAAGCTCCGGTGTCTGCAGAAGTGCAATTCTCCACGCGCCAAGGTTCGCTCTGCTTGCCCCGTCTGGCCGGCTTCCTGTTGCTCGACGACTCCGTCTCCACTTCCGCCTCGCGTTCTCCTCCTGCTCGTACTTACGAACCTCCTCCATATCCTGACCTTGCCTTGCCTCGAAGAGAAGTGACAACCCACAGGGCTAGACCCCCACAGACAAGTCGATGGATACGACATTGCGCTGGTATGCGCGCTGGGACTTCCATGGAAACCACCAGTGGCCATAACGCCAACAACCGTAACACCCCTCGCGCCCAATGCTTCCACATGCCCCACGCACCCATCATGACAACTTCCCTCTGATGAAACATATACAAATATGGGGCCAGATGCTCCCTACCGCCATCACTCATCCTAGGAGGTCCTGTCAACACCTACCCCGCCTCAGTTTATCAGATTCAGCTCGCTCAAGTGACGCATTCGCGTCAGGATCGCCCTGCTTCTCTGTGAGAATGCCACCTCTGTTGGAGCTGTTGGTTCTTGCTTGCTCGCTGCGAGTGTTGCTGGGGCTGGGGGGCCTGGACTGCCTGGGAGTGGCCGGACAGCCTTTCAGAGCCTGTGAGAGGCCGCCGAGCCTTCGGGAAAGGCCTCAGAGCCTGTCGGAGATACACCTCCATGAGAGGCCACAGAGCCTCTGAGAATGCTCAAAACCTCTGGGAGAAGCCCCAGGGCGTCTGGGAGGGCCCCTGCGAGAGTACTGATGTTGTTGCCGTCCTTGCTGCAGGCGCTGCCAGGGTTAGGTCGGACATGTCCCCCCGCAGGCGGAGTGTGGAAGGAACATAAGAAGTAGCCACAACAGACTCAAAACTAAGCAGAACATAATTGAAGATCGTCCCCCGACTATGTTTTGACTCTTGGATTCCTCCTGTAGAGGGGTATGTCCGACTTAATGCCAGGGCTAGGGGGGGCCTGGGGGGAGACTTACACGGAGAGGCGGCAGAACCTTTTGAGGAAAGGCCACCGGGTGACTGGGACAGCGCTGAAAGCTTCTAGGAGAAACCCCCGAGCCTCTCCTCCTCCTCTGAAGGGGCCCCAGGACACACAAATAAATACACACAAATAAAAATATCCCCCATATGTTCCCATATTTTCTGGGTTTTTGTCTTCCCCCCCACTTCCCATATTTTCCCATATTTTCCGGGGAATCGACGATTAATTGTGTCTGCGTGTTTTGTTCCCCTCCTCCTCCTCCTCCTCTTCTTCCTCCTGCTCCTGCTGGAAAGGCCTCAGAAGTCCTTGGAGGCGACAGAGATCCTCGCAGGGAGCCCCCGCGCCTCTGCGAGAGCTGGCAGAGGCGCCAATTTGGGAAAGGTCTCTCGGCGTCGGCAGGGGCCCCGGGGCAGCTGGGAACTTCCCGACAGCGCAGCCTCCTGGGAAATGCCCCCCCCGGGGCCTGCAGAAGAGTGCCCAGGGCCTCGGGGAGGGGCCTCAGGGCCTGCGGGGGGCGCCCCAAAGCTCCTCACCAGGGCCTCAGTCTCTCCCTCCTCCTCGTCCTCCTCCTCCTCCTCCTCGTCCTCCTCCTCCTCCTTCTCCTCCTTCTTCTCCTCCACTACGTCCACCACCTCCTACTCCTCCTCCTCCTCCTCCTCTTCCTCCTCCTCCTCCTCCTCCTCCTCCTCCTCCTCCTCCTCCTGCGCTCGTGCCGATCCTCCTCCTCCTCCTCCTCCTCCTCCTCCTCCTCCTCCTCCTCCTCCTCCTCCTCCTCCTCCTCCTCCTCCTGGAAAGGCTCTGTGGCCTCTGAGGCCTCAGAGCCTCTGGGAGATGCCTCGGAGCATCTGGGAAACGCCTCTCGCAGCCTCCGGGGGAAGCCCCCGAGCCTTCGGGAGGGGCCTCTGAGCCTCCGAGGCGAGCCTCTGAGCAGCCTCGCGAGACCGACGGGCGGAGCCACGGAGGAGCCCCCACGGGGGGACGCCGAGCCTCTGGAGGCGGCTGCAGATGCCCAACAAGAGGGAGCGGCCGCCTCGCGGAGGAGGCCCCCATGGGCGGCCCCCCGGAGCAGAGCACCCGAAAGGTGCAGAGAGGAGGCCCGAACAGAAGAGGGCCCGGAGCCTCCAGGAGGGGGCTCGGAGCGGGGAGAGGCTTCGGAGCTTCTGGCCAGGCCTCGGAGCCTCCGGGCGACTTGCCGCAGGGGGTGCCCAAGAGCGCGGCCGTCTCACGGAGCAGGAGTCTCTGGGCAGCCGGGTGATGAGGCGAGAGTGCCGCTCCTGAGCAGAAGGCGAGGGCGTCTCGGGCGGGAGCGCGGCTGTCGGGGGGCCAGTCTGGGCGGGAGTTCGCGGCGTGTGAGAGCGGGCTCGGATGCCAGGGAAAGTGTGGCCATGGCGCTGCGGCCAGAACGCTGGGGAAGATTAGGGAGGTCCACCAAGAACAGCTGAGCGTGGTGCCTAGCTGTTCAGCGACTTGCCCTTATCCGTCCCATTCAACATGCGGTGAGGGCATTGGACAAGGAGCCATTGGATAAGGAATCCACGGTCTGGAAACAGGTGGAACTCCGCTCGTGGATCGGCCACGGATATCACCGCCGCCCTGATCAGATAAGGAATCCTCCAGGGTCTGAAGCCTCCCGGCAACATTCCTCAACCAACGCCCCCACCGTAGCGACGGCCTGGAGTCCTCGGCCACACAGCCGACCTCTGGAGCTCTGACTGCCAAGGGCGCGAAGCAAGCGCGGCGTACAGACTGTGAGCATGGCGAGGGCCCGCCGCGGGGCGGAGCTTGCCAGTATTGGACCACCGAGCTCGGCACCAAGAAAGTACCTGGACCCCCTGGCTGCAGGCTAATGCCATCCTGCCTCAATGCACGCAGCTACTCATGCTCCCCATGCTCCCTGTTGGGTCTGCCAGGCCCTCAGATCCATGGTCATCATACTGATCGACTGACCGAACGCCACAGTGTCAACTCAATCACGTGCCGTTGATCATCATACTGCCAATACTGGCACTCAGGTCCTGGGCTTCTGTATGCTGCCCAGAGGTTTCAATCACTCTGTCTCGCTCTCCCTCCATCCTCTCGGTCCCCTTTTCTCTATATGCATATATACATATCGAGATATACGCATGTACACGTAGTTATCTCTCTCTCTCGCCCTGTGTGTTCACATCTAAAAAACATAGCTGCATATATATATATATATATATATATATACACACCGCTCTCTCGATACTTATATACATATGGATCACTACATCGCCCTTGTTTGTTCTCTCTCTCGCTCTCTCTCTCTCTCTTTCTCTCCCTTCATGTACTCTTTTCTCTCATTATCTCTCTCTCTCTCTATCTTGCACCGTCTCTGTGATGGTCTCCCCCCTTCCTCTGCATCTCTCTCTCTCTCTCTGGCCGCCTGGGTCGCTGGTGCTACAGCCGCGAAGCGGCCCCCTCTCGAGGCTGGCACATGCCTGCTTCACCGGCTTGGGAAGAGCATCCCGCGGCCAAGGAAAGAGATGCTGGATGCTGGATTGGCCCGCCTCCGAAGAGGGCCAAGGCAGGAGAGCACACCAGCACAGGGGATGGGCATGGGGGGGGAAGATCGGGGGACGCCGACTGACCACCGCCCCGACCCTGGCCGGGCTCACCCTGGACCCTGGATCTGGAGTCCCGGCACGGTGCGGCGACAGACCGTGCGGTGACCTCGGGATGCCCCAAGACCTCACCGCACGGTCTCTTGGGACCCCGGAGGCCCCCGTCGCCCGAGGCGCCCTCGGAGAGGGCCTCGAGCCCCAAGACCGTGCGGTGGCCCCGAATCCCCACCGACTCACCCCACACGGTGTGGTCACCACCACGCTTGGGGGGCCCCCGGCTGGAGCGGCGGCGCGCACGCCCTCCTCGCCTGGCCGGGGAAGCACAGCCGGCTTGGACGACAGCTTAACACTACTAAAAAAATGCGCAAACATATTCCACAAATACTCAAAAAGTCGTCCCATCTGGTTTAAAATATATGTTTGGGCATTCCTCGTGTAGAGGGACATGCCCGACTTGAGGCGAACAACAGCAAGGTTGTTTAACGGTGATGCTGGGGACCACCTCGTCGGAAATCGCGACGCACACTTTTCCTACACTGCCAATCCGCGAATGGATCGAGCGAACACGACAGAGCGCATAGCAGAAAAAAAAAAAAAAACGCGAGCCCCGCGTTCCCGCGCGCGGCCGGAATCGACACCGCCGTTGCCAACACCTCCGCTGGCCCGTCTGCGGCAGCACCCGCACGGCCGCTGTCAAGCAGGCGCCTCGGGTGGACCGCGTCCGCGGCGAGGCCGACCGCGAGTCCTGCTCATCGGGCAGGAGCTGCCCCCGGTCTTCGCCCCCGTGCCTTCCGTACAACTGAGCGAAGAAAAAAGCGATCTCACGCGAGATGGCACAGTGACCTCACGCGGCGGCTTCCGCGGGCGGCCAGCGCAGCACGCCGCCATGGAGACGAGGACACTCACGCATGACCTTAACGCAGGCAGCTCACTCGCCAGCGTCGGCGAAGACGGCCCCGTTTTTCTGCGCCGCCCACATGTCGATCGTACCGAAAGTGGAGAAACCAACAGGTGCCCATACCACCACTCCCCGGAACTCTCCTGGGGCGCCTACTGGCCAAAATTTCAAAGCGAACCCAGTGGTGGCGACGAGTGCTTCCCAGGAGACCCGACGAAGGGAACACGAGGCACAAAAAAAACAGTACCGGTACCCCTTCTTCCTCTGAGATACTACATACTCCGGCCGGACTTCCGCACGATTGCCGGAAACCTGCACAAAACCACTGTTTTGTGCGAGTGTATCGCATGACGCCGCCTGGCCGGAAACCGAAACAACCCCCGTACAACTATCCAGGCGAAGGACCCAACCA